GTGACCTAACGCACAACAGAACGAAACCCTACCCCGTCCTGCACCATCCTCAATTGCTCTATGCGCGAGCAATTGTTCCAGCCACAGTGTCGTCACTCCATCTCGCTGAGGGTCTTCCGCTTTCTCACTGCCCGTCTGCTTTCCCGAGCCTGGTGCCCTCCTTCTCCAGGGACTAGTCTCCCTGACAACATGTCCACAGTGCGTAAGACCACGTCTCACTATCCTTGCCTCTAAGGAGCACTCTGGCTGTACTTCTTCCAAGACAGATAGGTTTCTCCTGTTATCAGTCTGTGGTGCTTTCAATAGTGTTCTCCAGGACCGCACTTCAAATGCACTGATTCTCGTTTTGTACTCTTCAGTAGGTGGTCCATAGGTGGTAGTAATAAGAGAGTCACTACAGTTAGGGGCCATCGAGTCAACCTACCCATAGAGACCTCATTGGGACAGAACGAACCCTGCCTGGTCCCGGGGCATCTTCACAATTGCGAGATTTCAGCCCAGTCTGGCGGCCACTATCAATACAGCTCTTTGAGGGTCTTCCTCTACCAAGCACTATGCCCCTTGCCAGGGCCTGATATCTCCTGACAACAGGTCCAAAGTGCACCACTGAGGAAGGAACATTCTGGTGATACTCCTTCCAAGACACATCTGCTTGTTCTTTCGGACGTTTCCAAGTTCTCCCAGCACCTTAATTCAAATGCAGTCCTTACCCCGTCCTCCTGACTCCGATGCTCTCCTTACAATTTTTCAAATTCGGTTTCTCTTCGCATCCATGGAAACATTCTTTCTTCTTCTACCCCGCTTTCCCCCTTAAGCCCAGAAATGCTCCAAGTACCAATGGTGTAATTATCTCTATTGTGTTCTAATAAGTAATATGCATGTTCATATGTACTCCGAGTACACAAGGACTGCCTCCGAACTGAACTGGTAGTACTTTGGGACGCTGGCTTGTGTGTGGCTATGCTACTCGCGTTTCAAACAGCAGGGTCACGCATGGTGGGCAGGTTTCAGCGCAGCTCCTAGATGAAGAACAAAGGCATGGGACCTATTTCTGAAATTACCCAAAGAAAACCCCATAGATCCCAACAAAACTACTGTCTGATGCAGTGCACTCCAAATGCACAGTGACCCTGACAATGGACTTGAGCCGGCCAGTGGCGGGGGAGATGCAAGACCAGGCCACATTTTGTCCTGTTGGACAGGGAACTGTCTTGAATCAAAGATGACTGGGTGGTGATGCATTGGGAAGAATGAGTGTGTGTGATTTATGTGTTTACAGGAGGCAGAATTCAAAATGAAGGGGTTCCTTTGCCCGTAACCTTGCAGGAGAGAGGAAGCTTTGAATCCTGCCGTGTGGCAGCAATTTCACTGGAAAGAAGGCCTGTGCCTATAACTGTCCGACACCAGTCTCCAATTCTCAAACTTGGCTAATCCAAAAGGCGATTTCAAAATGCAATCTTCCCTCCAAATGACAAGTAGGAAAACTTTACTAAGTCAAACCTATAGAGACATTTTACTGTGCAGGAGTGGAACGCTGTCTGTTCCAGGGCTATTTGGAGGCTTTGCTTTCTGCAGATAAGTTCTTCTTTGGGAATGTCGTCTGACTTCATAGCTGTGTCATTCCACTCCTACTGTCAGTTCTGATTATGCATGCATGTGACAACCAAATGTGAGGGCACTTCAAAAATGTCATGGAGTTTCCCCTGAACTTGTAGGAGCCCCCTGGTTTACAGGCTCTGGGAGAACGGAGCACTTACTGTGGAGTGAGCACTCTTGTCAAAGAACTCAGCGGCGTTTCTATTCAGTATTTAAAGTGTAATGTTTAATTTTAGAAAGTAATGAAATTCCAAAAAGCACAGTTTTTCTGCTGAGCACTTCAAGCCAATTAGCAACTTTATCCAGTTAACAGCTTAATCTTCATTGTCATTTAACAATGCCAGGGTGTTACATATTTCAGCAGCTCCCGGAGAAGGCTAGCATTTCACTTACGAGCTCTGGTGAGTTGGAT